ATGCTCACCATCTCTAGCAATAAAGGAAATGCAAATTAAAACCACACTAAGATTCCACCTCACCCCTGTTAGAATAGCCATCATCAGCAACACCACCAACAACAGGTGTTGGCGAGGATGCGGGGAAAAAGGAACCCTCTTACACTGTTGGTGGGAATGTAGACTAGTACAACCACTCTGGAAAAAAATTTGGAGGCTACTTAAAGAGCTGGACATCAATCTACCACTTGATCCAGCAATACCACTCTTGGGGATATACCCAAAAGAATGTTACTCCAGAGGCACCTACATATCCATGTTTATTGCGGCACTATTCACAATAGCCAAGTTATGGAAACAGCCAAGATCCCCCAGCACTGACGAATGGATTAAGAAAATGTGGTATCTATACACAATGGAATTTTATGCAGACATGAAGAAGAACGAAATGTTATCATTCGCTGGTAAATGGATGGAATTGGAGAACATCATTCTGAGTGAGGTTAACCTGGCTCAAAAAACCAAAAATTGTATGTTCTCCCTCATATGTGGACATTAGATCAAGGGCAAACACAACAAGGGGATTGGACTTTGAGCACATGATAAAAGCGAGAGCACACAAGGGAGGGGTAAGGATAGGTAAGACACCTAAAAAGCTAGCTAGCATTTGTTGCCCTTAACGCAGAGAAACTAAAGCAGATACCTTAAAGCAACTGAGGCCAATAGGAATAGGGGACAGGTACTAGAGAAAAGGTTAGATCAAAAAGAATTAACCTAGAAGGTAACACCCACGCACAGAAAATCAATGTGAGTCAATGCTCTGTATAGCTATCCTTATCCCAACCAGCAAAACCCCTTGTTCCTTCCTATTATTGCTTATACTCTCTCTACAACAAAATTAGAGATAAGGGCAAAATAGTTTCTGCTGGGTATTGAGGGGGGGAGCGGGAGGGGGTGGAGTGGGTGGTAAGGGAGGGGGTGGGGGCAGGGGGGAGAAATAAACCAAGCCTTGTATGCACATATGAATAATAAAAGAAAAATGAAAAAAAAATAAAAAATAAAATAAAATAAAATCTTCAGTAAGTATAAAAAAAAAATAAAAATAAATAAAAAAAAGAAAACTAAATTAAAAATAGAACTGCCATGTGATCCAGCAATTCCACTTCTAGAGATCTACCTGAAGGAATGCAAGTCAGGTTACAATAAAGGCACATGCATTCCCATCCCATGTTTATTGCAGCATTATTCACAATAAGGTTCCAAGATATGGAAACAGCCAAGATGCCCCACAACTAGTGCTGAGTGGATTAAGAAAATGTGGAATTTATATACAATGGAATTTTATTCAACCATAAAGAAGAATGAAATTTTGTCATTTGCAGGTAAGTGAATGAAACTGGAGAACATCATCTTAAATAAAGTTAGCCAGGTTCAGAAAGGCAAAGGTCACATGCTTTCTCTCACATGGGGAATGTAGACCTAATACAAAAACAAGCAACATTATGAAAAACATCACAGTAAGACGAGGTCATTAACGGAAGAGGCAGGGTAAAAGAAGGAAGTTAAGAAGTGAATATGACTGATGTTCTTTCTATACAAGAATGAACATAGATTTTTTTAATCTGTTGAAATCACAATAAGAAGGAGACTAAGGTAGAAAGGAAAAAAAATAGAGGGGGATGAACCAATTTAGTTTATAGTACATGTATCCATGGAAATGTCACAGTGAAGCTCCTTGTACAGCTTTCTTATATGACAAAAAATGTCAAGGAATGGGGTTGGCTCCAGTGGGAGGGGGAGAGTATAAGGAAAGGGTTGTAGGAGGGTGAATAGGGTGAGAATATTATGTACTCGTGTATGAAAATGGAAAAATGAGATCTGTTGAAAGTATTCCAGGAATGGGGGAGGGAGATAAAGGAGAATGATGAAGGGGGTGAATTCAAGTATGATATATTGGAAGAATTTTGGTAAATGTCACAATGTACCCCCAGTTCAACAATAATTTTTTTAAAGTTTCTAAATACTAAATATTATAGATGACCTTAGTTGAGAAATTTTTGCTGAAAGTAACTCATCCTAAAATGTGATATGAAGAAAACTAATGAGAAATTCAAATTACCTTTATTCTTCATGTCAGAAGAAAACAACTAATCTAAAACATGATCACAAGAAACTAACATTTTTAGTTGTTATGAAAGTATGTTGAAGTGAAGTCAATGATGTCATGAAGATATATAAACAAAAAGTCTCCAAAAATTAAAGGGAAAAAATCAGGGGCCAGATTGTGTGTTTCTAGCACTGAGTCAAGTAGGACCCTGTGATCAAGGGACATGAATATTCTGGCTCTTAGAAAACAAGAAAAAAAAAATAACAAGTAGATAGTTCACCAGATTATCTCATAGGCTGAATGTTTCCAGCATCCAAACTATATTTTTCATTTTCTTGGTGTTTCTCAATTCTTCAATAATACAAATATCACAAAAGTAAAGTAATGTACAGCCTACTATAAAATTTAACACTGCTTTTCAGCAGTATGTCAGTAGTGCATGAACTTGGGTGGTGTTAGTCCTCTGGTCTGGTCCCCTATGAAAGTGCAATATTGCAGTTGAAGACATTCAACCTAAAAAACAGATTGCTGCATTGCCCAGCATGAGGTCCAATCTAAACTACCTGTATTATATTTAATACATATAAATAAATGTCACATAAACATCTCTGCAAATCTGCATGCAGAATGATAGAGTCAAATACTCTTTTTTATAAATATATTCAAGGTTCAAACTCAAAGAACCAGTTCCTATCTCTCCAATGCAATATGGCAGGCATAGCATTGGTCAGAGCATCTCAAACTCAGCACTACTGACATTTTGAAGTGAGTAACTCTTCTTCATGAGCACCGCCCCATGCATTATAAGATGTTTTGCAACATCTCTGGCCTCCGTCCTCTAGATGCTAGTAGTTTGCCTGATTTGTGACAACCAAAAGTGTCTCCAGACACACCCTGTGGAACAAAGGTAACTCTAATTCAGAAACAGTGTTCTTACATGTTATGAGTTGGGTCTCCAGAAGCAGACTTTGTGTGCATAAATACTCACTCCACCTCTTGCAAGTTGTGTGACCTTCAGCAAGTTGCTTACTTTCCCTATGCCTCAGTTTCTCATTGGTACAATGCAGATTTCAGTAGTATCTACCCCAAACATATCTTCTAAGGATCAAATAAATTGATAAGGAAGGCCCTCAAATCACTCAATGAAATGTGGTAAATGTTTAATACATTCAAACTATTGCTATTACCATTATTGATTTTTATAATCATTTACTATTTGCAAAGCCTTTTCAATTATATATATACATGCTCTCTCACCTGATTCACTCTTTTTGTTTTGTTTTTTGTTTTTGTGGTTTTGAGACAGGGTCTCACTGTAGTCCTGCTGATCTAGAACTCACGATCTTCCTGCCTCCACCTCCTCAGCGCTGGGATTACAGGTGTGAACCACCATGTGATTCTTATAACCACCTTGTGTGTGGGTGTGTGAGGATGATTGAGGTTGTGATGTGTGGTGAAGGTCTGTATTGGGTACAGCATGTTTTATTCTTATCTCTATTTTCCAAATAAAGAAATTGTAACATAATATAAATAAATAGGGTTGCCTGAAGTCACACATACATAACAAAGTTTACCATTTTATTCATTTTTAAATATACAGTTAAGTTGCATTAAGGGCATTCCCACTGTTGTACCACAGTGTCCACTGTCCATCTCTAAAATGTTCATCGTTGTCTGAACACCCCGCTCCTTACCCTCAACCCCTAGCAGTCATCATTCTGCCCTATATATTTGACTACTGTAGGTACCTCATATAAATGGAATCATACAATATTTGTACTTTTGTGTCTGGCTTTATTTCACATAGCATAATATCTTTGGAGTTCATCCATGTCATAGCATGTGTCAGAATTTCCTTCCTTTGAAATATAGAGTAATACACTATCATATGTATATATCATAATTTTCCACTCATCCATTGATGGACTGGGGGTATTTTCACCATTTGAATGTGTTTCCCAAATTTTTATATGTCAAAATCCTAACCCCCGGTGAGAGAATATTAGCATCTGGTGGTGTTAGAGCATTTGGGAGGTGATAAGGTCATGAAGACTCTGCCATAGGATAATGCCCTTATAAAAGTCACAATAGAGAGTTCCTTTTCTCCTTCTGCCATGTGTAGTTACAGTGAAAAGACAGCTAGCTGTCTATAAACCAGGAAACCAGCCCTCACCAAACATGTAATCTACCTGCACCTTGATCTTGGACTTCACAGCCTCTAGAACCATGCCTTTAAGTGTTTATAAGGCACCTAGAGAATATGATGACTTGATGCCATACAGCATCCTGAATTAAGACAGAAGTCATAGCACTTTTAAGTTGAAACTTCTGACTCTTGGTCTAACGCTGGTTTCAATATTATCACAAAGAGAAGTGATTATTTTATATAACCTAAAATTTCCCTCAAACTCAGGAGGTTCTCAAAGAAATTAAGAATCACATGTAAGATGATTAGCCCACTGAAATACAGTATTAATGCTGCACTTTTGTGAAAGAATGAATCAAATAACTAAGCTTCATTGTCACATATTTTAAGTTTCTTAGAAAAAGAAGCACATACACACACACAATTTACAGAAAAATGTCAACAGGATCATATGCTGATGCAATAACTCTAGAATTGCTTCAAAAGGTGAAATTCCATGTTGAAACATGGTACACAACTGCTTCTCAGATAAGCAAGCCCAAAGAGCACCTTCTGTTGGGTTACTTTGACCTGTATTGAGCTTTTACTAGCAATTGGCCTTGCTTCAAGAACTCAAGGTGTATGTGACCCGTTAGAAGATCTAGGGGAAGCCTGCCTCCTCTCAGACAGTCCATTGATGTCTGCTCTTCCCTGGACCTCCACAAACAAGGTGTCCCTTTCCTAGACCCACACAAGGACCGAGCCTGAGGGAGAATACAGAGCAGAACCATGAACCTTGTCCTGGATCTCCTCCTGCTTCTGTTCATCGTCGTCTACTCCTACCTAGAGTCACTGGTGAAGTTTTTCCTTCCCCAAAAGAAAAAGTCTGTGGCAGGGGAGATTGTTCTCATTACGGGAGCTGGGCATGGAATAGGCAGGCTAACCACCTACGAGTTTGCAAAACGGAAAAGCAGACTGGTTCTGTGGGATATCAGTAAGGTAATGGATAATGGATAATGGGAATGTCAATCCTTGAAAGTCACAAAGTCAGGTGCATGGTATGGGAATTACTTGATTTGATACCTGCCTATCTTAGTGTTTTTCTTTTTCAAAGTTTGATGTTATTATGCAAATGCTTCAGGTTGGTTAAATGAAGGGAACATACCTGAGAATCAAAGCAGTGATTTTTATACCATGGTACGCAAGTTGACAACAAAAGACACAGAAGCCAGGAACTTCCAAGCTGCAGACATTTCTCTCAGCGTGGAATTCTTTATCTGCAATGAGGATAATGTTCAGAAGGAGTCCAGAACTACAGCAAATTACTACTAAGGGTCAAATTCAGCCAGTAGACAGCCAATTAAGCTAAGAGTGATTTTTAAACTTTTAAAGAGTTCTCAAAACCAAAGAAAGAACATAGGACAAATCCTTTGGTGCCTCCTCTTGCACACATAATCTTAAAATATTTAGTATTTAGCTTTTTGCAGGAAAATGGTGCCAAGTCCTAGGGAAGAAGAAAAAATAAATGAATATTTTAAGTGCTTAAAAGTATGTCCAACATATGTGAACACTAGTTGTGTTAAAAACTATGTAGAGAGTCAGGCTTTCTCTTGAGCATTCTTTTTTTTTTCTTATGCCTTATTGTAAATATTAACTATCAACATAAAGTAGCTGAAATCTTGTACAGTTTTCTCTAAGCTTGTAAATTTCAGTAAAATCATGAAAATATATGCCAAAAAATATTTATAAGATTTCAAGATTGAAAAAATTATGAGTTTTCTTTTTTTTTTTTTTTGAGGAGATTTTTCCATAAATCATAGTGAGATTTTTTGCCGCCATGTCTAGTTGCCACTTATTTTTTTAGGGACTTTAAAATGGCTCTTGAACTTAAGGAATTAATTTTCCCCTGGCTGTGGTGAAAAATACCATCAAGCAAAAGTTGATTCATCTTTACTTAACTGACACAGGCGCTTATGTAAAAGATAAGTTGATATATGGGATATGAAAATTATTTACCATGGGTTTAGTCTTTGAAGAGAGCCAATGAAACTTGCAGGAGAGGATAAGAATTTACAAATTGAGAAAATTATTTTCTGCTGTTCTTGGGCGTTTATCAAAAAGTCTAAATAAGAATAAATCCATGAAGAAAGCTTGATGAAATCTAACCTTCGGATCTCTTTTCACCTGTGCCGTTTGAAGAGAGGATACTTATTACATTTTTTTTTAATTTTAGAATTTCTAGGAGAAAAGTAAAATTAGCAAGCAGTCATACTCACAATGACTTAAGATTCACTTGGCCTGAAGGATGAGTAACCCAAACCTTGTAAATTCTCTTAAAATCCATGATTTATACTCTAAGGTCATAACTCTGATTTCCTTTGACTTTTTGTCACACCTGGCTCTTTTTGCCTTACAAGACGAAAGGCACATCAACAGTATGACCCTGGTTCTACCTAAATTGCTGTTTTAGGAACAAAGTGACTAGTGAAGCAACCAGCACAGGCCGGAGTTGATACTAAAGCACGTGACTCACTTGCAGAAAGACAAGGTACACATTTTGCAGTGCTCTGGGCCAATTGTAAGACAAAAGACCTTTTAATTCTTTAATCAAAGCATCTAATGAAAGCTCAAGTTACTAATGCTCTCTATGGATCTTGAATCTTGAGACGAAATGGAGAGAGTATAGTGGGTGGTACAATCTGGCAGTAAACAAGCTTCCAGCTAAAGTCCAAGTCAGTGAAAGATTTCTGCCCCCCACTTCCCCCTTAACTTCTTTGCCATCCCCTAAAAGGCTATTTGAAGGGCCACTGGCTTTGCTACTATAATAGCAAAGGGCATGGATCTTTTTAAAGTCTGTTCTTTGAGATTTCAGGCTGCTGCTGCAGGGTTTAGCCCAAAGTAGAGAAACAGAAAGGACCCAAGGGAGGCAAGGAGACTAAGGAAAATTACTTGAACTTTCATTCTGGGATAACCTGGAATCACAGTGCCTGGGATGGTAGTGGTGACTTTTCAAGTGGCTTCTCTGCATCACAGGAAAGAGTTCACAAATGTAAGAGGTAAAGGCCTCATAATCTTTGCTATAAACACCAACAGATGTCAAAACTGGAAACAAATTCTAATTTTCCAGAAATGCAGGTCAAGAAACACAGAAAGAGGTCTTTGAATGTAGGATGAAAGTAAGTTGGTCTGTTTGCATGTCCTAGAGTTATAAGCAAAGTTGTTATTGAAATGACAATCCATTAGGTGGCCCTGAAGAATGTTGTAGAATTATCTCCTAAGGTCTCCCTATTAAAGTCTTTCTCAAATTAGTAACCATCTTTCCTTTCCACTCCCAGAGGGATAAATCAAAATTGTCAAGAAAAACATGCAGAAGCGCAGAGTTTAGAATCACTGTAACTACGCAGCACAAATGAATGATAAATTGAGACTTTTTTTCCTTCTCCATACTAAAACATCTCCTCCTGTGACACCACAAAGTGCCACATCTCCAAGAATGTCTTCCAAGCCACAGAAGTGACCTTCTTTGGAGAAAAGTCTACTGGAGACTCTCCAGAGGCCAAGAGAAACTGGGAAAACAAAAACAGAAAAGAATTGTTTTGCTTGCTTTTTATTTGTTTTGGGTTTTTGGTTTAGGTTGGGTTTTTGTTGTTTATTTGTTTGGGGGGGGTGGCTTGGGGGTTTGCTTAGGATGCTAATCTGTGTATTTCTAGCAGAAAAGCCAGGTGTACTCTAATTGCAAATTAGGCAAGCAGCCACTCTCAAGAAATTCTTATAAAATAATGAGACATTTGGGGCATGGACTTTAATCCTGAAAAGGCTTTCTCCTGCCGCTCTTTCCCGGACTCGCTCTTTGGTCTTGCAGCACAGCGTCGAGTGCAGGCAGCTCGGGGCCCGCGCGCACGCGTTCGCCGTGGACTGCGGGGACAGGGACGAGGTTTACAACTGCGTGGAGCAGGTGGGCGCCCACGCCGTCCCCGGGCTTCGGGCTCGCTCCACTGGCGTGCAGAATGAAGGGGCGCTTGACGTGGGCCTGATCGAAATCAGATGAGCCGCACAATGAAGTAGCTGTGCGATGGGCTCTGGCCATTGTAATTGTTTCGTATTTCAGTCAATTTGGAGCTGGTCAGAAGTTTAAGCAGTGGCCCACAGTAACTATTAAAGATTTACCAGCAGGAAATTGATTCCTTTCTAGTTTCTGGTCCTATATTTTGCAGCATTTTCCCCCTTTAATCATTTCCTCTGTGAGATTTTCTTTGTTTTGATGCTCATCTGGTTTTCTAGGGTAAATGTGCAATCAATAATCATTATAACACTTTTTAAATATCAAGTGCTCACAATAAACAAAACTCTCCAATGAACTATTGCATTCTTTTTTAATTTAATTTAATTAAATGATTCTAGAACCCTCAGTTTATAGATGAGCAACTTAAGGGTCAGAAAGATTAAGCCAGACAAAGGTCATGTACCTGATAGGTGGTAGAACCAGAATAACCAGGGTTATTCAGTCAGCACTTTAAAAATACTTGGTCAGAGCTGGACACCCGTGGCTGTAATCCTAGCTGCTTGGGGAGTCTGAGATTGGGAGGATTCTGATTTGAGCCCAGTTCCAGGCAAAAGTTTGTGGGCTGGGCACTGGTGGCTCACACCTATAATCCCTGCTATCAAGAGGCAAAGATCAGGAGGACTGTGGTTCGAAGCCAGCCTGGGCAAATAGTTTGAGAGACCCTACCTTGAAAAAACCCAGCACAAAAAAAGGGCTGGTGGAGTTGCTCTAGGTGTAGGCCCTGAGTTCAAACCCTAGTACCACAAAAAAAAAAAAAAAAGTTGTGGGACTCCATCTTAACCAGTAGAGGGAGAGGGGTCTGTCATCCCAGCAATGGTGGAAAGCCTAAAATAGAAGGATCATGTTCCAGACTTTCCTGGGCGAAAAGCAAGACTCTATCTAAAAGCAAGACTAAAATAACCAGAGGAAAATGGGCTGTGGAGGTATGGCCCAAGTGGTAGAGAACCTGCCTAGCAAGTGTTGAAGCCCTGAGTTCAAATCCCACTACTGTATTTTGGTCAGAATTTATGTATCAATTTACCAGCACAAACATTAATTTCGCTTTATTCATAAGATTTTAAAGAACACATGGTATCATGGGTACCAAAATGCACATTTTAAAAATCTAACCATCTTTATGACTGTTCCCTTTGCATCTACTCTTTGAACTTGAAGCTCTTTTCATCGCTAAACTCTGAGACACCTCACCCAGTAGAATACAAAAAAATCTATTCCCTGGATTAGATCTAATCCACAACTTTGAGTTTGATAACAAACCCTATAATGTGTTCTTTCTAATTTAAAGGTAAAAAAAGAAGTGGGTGATGTAACCATCGTGGTGAATAATGCTGGAGCAGTATATCCAGCTGACCTCCTTAGTACCAAGGATGAAGAGATTACCAAAACGTTTGGAGTCAACATCCTCACACATTTTTGGGTGAGTGTGAGTCAGAAATATTTTCTGTTTGTGTGTGTCTGATGCCTTCTCTGAAGATATGTGAACCTCATAATTGAGTTCACATATTTGGTGGGGGACTGGCCAGATCTCTTTTCTTAAATCAAGAATCATCAAACTTACTTGAATAGAAGAGACTCCAGAGTCTCTGACTAATGGGCACAGAGGTCAAGAGGATGCAACAGCCCAGAATAGAAGCCAGTTGGTCTGTCTTGTCTACAAGTATCTACCACAAAACTTGACAGGGGCCAGGTTTTCACACACGTATTCATGGAGGTGTGTGAAGGGTTGTCCTTGCCATATCTTTTCTGTGCTTTACAGGAAATATATGCAGAGTCCATTCACTTATACAGGATTTTAGTAATGAAGACATCAGAAGGAACTACTTAGATGTATGTAAGATCAGAACACTTCAGGGTGGACTCTGAGATAAGTTCTGGATCATGGAATGCTGGAACTTAGAAACAGGACTCAAGAGATTGCTTACAGCCAGGTGCGGTGCTTCACACCTATAATCCCAGCCACTCAGAAGGTAGAAATTGGGAAAATCACAGCTTGAGGCCAGCCAGAGCAAAAAAAAAATTAGCAAGACTCCATCTTAACAAACATGCCAGGTGTGCTGGTACACACCTGTGAATTCCAGCTACACAAGACACATACTTAAAAGGATCATGGTCTGAAGCCAGCCAGGACAAATAGCTGGAGACCCCATCTGAAAGATAAGTAAAGGGCTGGGTGCTTGGCTCAAGTGGTAGGTTGCTTGCCTAGCAAGTGCAAGGGCTGGAGCTCAAACCCAGCACTGCCAGAGGAAAGGAAGAGAGACAGAGACAGAGAAACAGACAGAGACAGAGAGTTCTTACAATTGGTTCATTTTGTGGGAGACTGATGTGTGAACTTCAACAGCCTTTGTAGAGAGCAGGACCTCAAAATTAGTGTACAACTTGAGGAGAGGATCAAGCTGGATTCTTGGAGAGAAATCCTCCCCAGACCTTCACACGTGCTAATGTTGGTTATCATGCCACCAGACTGCATGGAGGACTCATCAGAGTTTTCTGTAGCTCATAACATATTCTACGAAACTTAGAAGTTTAAAGCAACAAGACACATTCTTTGTCGCCTCACAGTTTCTGTGGGTCAGGAATTTGTAGGTGGCTTCCTTTGGGCAGTTCTGGCTCTAAGAATTTGCACAAGATATACAAGGTGGATCCATCAAATTCTCTTAAGATATTTTTTAATTTTTTGGAGAAAAAAACTGCTGTTTCCTGTAACACAGTATTACAAAGAGGGACGTACATAATTGCTTGGATGAGCCTGGAGCCCTGGGCTTATTTCACTCAATTGTCTGGATGCAGACCCGCAAAATTTCAGCTCTTCTCACTGGAATGACAAAATCTTATATAACGCCAGATTATCACGAGGAATTCCTTCAATTCTTAAAACTCTGAATTTCTCCCTCAATGATATTGTTTGGGGCTGGGAGTATAGCTCTGTGATACAGTGCTTGCCTATCGTGAGGGCTATATTTCAGCCTTAGTAACTGAAATAATGATAATAATAAGATTATTTGTTTGACATAAACAGAAAGGAGCATTTGACTCTTTCTGAAGGGAAGAAGGGGGAATTTTTAAGGTGGGTCCTTGGCATGCCACATACTGGCCCAGCACTCAGTGCTGGCTCAAACCAATGGATGCTTGTCCTTTTTATTTCTATCATGGGTATAGAAGTGACCACAGAATCTTGGCAACTATTTTGTTTCTCTCAAATGTTATTCTGTCTTAACAAAACTAAAGCAACCTGATTTGAAACTGATACCTGTGTCATTGTTCATCTTCTCTCTGCATTGACCTTAGAGCACAAAAGCACTTCTTCCATCGATGATGAGGAGAAATCATGGCCACATTGTCACAGTAGCTTCAGTGTGTGGCCACGGAGTGATTCCATATCTCATCCCATACTGGTGGGTATTGCTAGCCGGGAGCGCCACAGATAGCTAAGTGCTCACAGTGCTGTAATTTGGATTTACAGCATTTACATAGTAGGTTAATTCTAAGTGGGCTTCTAAAACTATGAAACTGGGTGTAATTTTATTTAAAATATTCTTTGATTTCTGGGAACTCTTCTATAGAACAGTATAAGAAAGCAGTAAAGCCAGAATCTTTCCATTGTATCCTGGAATGAATAGACATTGAGAAAAGGCAGAGGGCATGGCTCAAATGGTAGAGCACCTGCCAAGCAAGTGCAAGGTCCTGAGTTCAAACCCCAGTGTTGCCAAAGTAAACAAACAAATAATAAGTACATAAATAAATAAAAAGAGCACTAGCAAACACTGATAAAGGAACAGGAAACACAGACTAAGGAGTAAGACATGCAGAAGTTAAAATGAACACAAATCTATATCCTAGCCAAGGTGCCATGATAAGCTTGCGAAGTGAAAGTATGTGTGTATGTGTGTGTTTGTGTGTGTGAGAGAGAGAGAGACAGAGAGAGAGAGAGGGAGAGCACTTCTACCTGAGTAAACAGTGTGATACCACACCCATACCTTACTAAGTACATAAAGGGAAGGAGGAGGCTAGAGTCTCCAAAGATATACTATTTGCAAAATATCCTTCTCTTGAAAACTATGTTCCAAACTCTGTTTAACATCTTAAAACACAAATAAGAATTTCACAGATTAAATCTTTGCTATTGTTTCATTGTTTAGAAATTTAGAAATCTGACTGGGCATGGTATCTCATGCCTATAATTCCAGCTACTCAGGAGGCTGAGATGGGGAGGATCCTGGTTACAAGCCAGCTCAGGCAATATGTTAATGAGACCAAGTCTCAATAATAAGCCAGGCATGATGGTACATGTCTGTAATCCCAGCTATGCATGAGGCTAAGTAGGAGGATCACAGTCCAAGGCCAGCCATGGGTAACACTTGTATCATCGATTCTTCACTCTTATGCACATGCTATTTCATTGAATCCTAAGACAACCCTAAATTTTATTATCTATAATTGAAAAATCTGAAAAACAAAAAAGTACAGTAAGGTCATGTGCTGATGGTTGCACACACAAACATACCTATCTTCACACCCTCTTTTTTATTTCATTTTTGGCAGTGCTATGGTTTGAACTCAGGGCCTACACTTTAAGCCACTCCACCAGCCCTTTTTTGTGAAGTGTTTTTGAGATAGGGTCTCTTGAACTATTTGCTCAGAATGGCTTCAAATCACAATCCTCCTGATCTTTGCCTCCCAAGTAGCCAGGATTACAAGCCTGAGCCACCAGTGCCCAGCTCTCCATACCTTCTTTTAACTCCAACTTCTCAGAATGAAATTAAGAAGCCATTGTGGCTCCAGTGTCAAGAGAGAAACTATGAACACAGTTGTCACAGGCGGGGGAATAGGTAGTCTCTCAGAAGTTTGTTAATACAGACATTAGCTTTGCAGGATTTCTAAATATGTTTTCTCTAATTCATATCTTTCACAAGAGAAACTGATTAAAACACTTTGAGGATGGAAGAAATTGAGTGGAAAACCTTCCATGTAGGATAGGAAATGAGCATGACGTAAGCCACTCTGTAAAGTTATCCCTGCTCTTTTGCTATCATCGCTGGTTAATGAAGGGTAGAGGCTGGGGGTGTAGCACAGTGGGGCAGTGGACTCAACATGGGCAGGGCCCTGGCTTCAATCCCCACACAAAAAGAAAAAAGAAGCTGGGTGCACTCAGAATTCTCTCTAGCGGTATAAGAAAATGTGAGTGAAAATGACAGGTCACTTTGTCCTCTCAGAAAAATCTCAAAGCAGAATGTCTGAGATTCTTCGTGTTGTGTTCTCAAAGCAGATAGCAGTGTCTTGTCACAAAGCTGTGGCCTGTGAGTCACCGGTGCTGATGATTCTCTTCCAGTTCCAGCAAATTTGCTGCTGTTGGCTTCCACCGACGTCTGACGGCAGAATTGGAAGCCTTGGGGAAAACTGGCATCAAAACCTCATGTCTCTGCCCAGTGTTTGTGAATACTGGGTTCACCAAAAACCCAAGCACAAGGTGAGGCCAAAATCAAGTTAGAATGAAAACATGACATGAAACATTCATCAGAAAACTATAGGAGAAAATTTAAATGGGCTGACGGAGGAAACAAAAAAAAAAAAAAAAAGGAAAACTTGTTTTTCTTACTAGTAGTGTTGTACTAGCTTTAAGTTTTACCTTGAAATTAAATTAGGGACTAGAGGAGTGAGTGTAGGCAACTGATAGCTTTTTGTGTCCAGGAAAATGTTGACAGACTCAGGTGCCAAGAGTGAGCAAGAAGGGGGCTGGGAACTGAAGGGGTTTGGGGAAGGGAATGAGAGTCCTCTGTGCTGACCTAACATCCTAACATTCCCTGGTGGTTCACCCTCCTCAGTGGGTAGCAAGGTAAGGGTACAGAACACCACTCTGTCTCTTCCACAGCACAAGCTGTACTGCTATTGTGACACCCTCTAACATTCCCTGAACTTGCCTGACACTCAAAATCACTGCTTCGGTGTAAAATAAAACTAATGTTCATTGACTCTTCCTTAGAGGTTCTGATTTAATAGCTCCAAGAATAAGGTGTTTTGTTCATTTTATTTCACTTCACAAGCATACAATTATAAGATTGTGACAAAACATCCACAAGGACTGTGGAGCCAGGAGGGAAGTGGCACTTCTACAGGGAATCCTGAAACATTTTTCACCAAATTGGTGAAAAGATTGCTTTATTTTCCTGCTTTCATTAATTGAAAAATTAAAACGTTGGGGAGGGGGCATGGCGCTGAGGTTTAACTCAGTGTAGAGTGCATACTTTGCATGTGGAAGCCCTGGATCCAATCCCCAGCAAGAAAATAAACAAATGGATAAAAAAAATTTAATAGAAATAAACTTTTTTTTCTTTTGAATCACAGATTATGGCCTGTTTTAGAGACAAATGAAGTTGCAAGAAGTCTGATAGATGGAATACTTGCCAACAAGAAAATGATTTTTGTTCCATCATATATCGGTTTTTCTCTGCTACTGGAGAAGTAAGTACAGTCCAGAACATCTAAAATATTAAAAGACAAATAAAATTATTGTACATACAGTCTTTTAGTTGTGGAAGTTGCTATGGAAATGATCCATCCCTGTGGTGTACATGTCCTGTTATTGTCTTAGCCATTCTCTTCAAAAAAGGGAATGATTCCTTTTCTCAGCCATGTTTATCATCTCGGCCCAATTTTGCTGGACTGTTGAAACCGAAGGAAAGACAGTTTAAAAAGAATATAATATAGTGACCTAGTTAATAAAGGCTCTATTTTTGTAAAACCTGCTGAAATTTTGATTGGAACTGCACTAAATCTATAGACCAATCAGAGAAGAACTGACATATTAACACTATTGAGTCATTTAATCCAAGAACACAATATACCTTTCCCTTTTTGAAAAATATTCTTCAAAATCTGTAGGCACTATTTTGTAGCTTCTGGAATTCAAACCTTGCACATCTTTCAAGAGATTTATTACAAAGTATTTCATGGTTTTGATTGTATTATAATTGCATATAAAAAATTTTTTTCTCCTCCCTGTTATATATATTTCATTTTAATATTTTGCTCTTACATTCTTCAACTTTGTTAAACTTGTGAAACTTATTATTTATTAAGCTTGCTAAGCTGTTTTGGAGATTCCACCAACAGATTCTGTACATAAACAATCATACTACTTGTGAAAGAAGACACTTTCACTTTTCCCTTTAGAATCTGCAGGGTTTTGTTTTTTCTTGCCTACTACATGGGCCAGACCTTCCAATCCAGTACTGAGCAGGATGGGAAGGAACAGGAATCCAATTCTTCCTGGCCATCAGGTGGAAGGGTTTTGCCCCTGAGTACAAAGTTGTTTTGTACGAAGTGTTCCACCATTGAGTACAAAGTTGGCCACCGATGCCCTTTGTCAGGTTAAGGAATTTCCCTTCTATTGCTACCTTCATGAGAGCTTTTATGAAAAAATGTAGACATCAATTTTTGTCAAATGCATCCTCTAAATATATTGAAATCTTTCCATTTTAGTTTAATATTGTAAATTACATAGATGCTTTTTTCTTTCTTTCTTTTTGGCAGTACTGGGATTTTAACTCAGGGCCTTGTGCTTGCTAAGCAGGTGCTCTACCACTTGAGCCACACCTCCAGTCCTACATTGATTCATTTTAAAGGATAAACCAACCCTGAATTAAAATGTCTTTGTCTGATGTTTGTATCAGAGTAATACTGACTTCATAGACTGAATTGAAGAGTTGTCCCTCCTCTTCTATTTTCTGGAGTAGCTTCTATGGGATTGGTACTGTTTCCTCCTTAACCATTTGATAGAATTCACAGGGAAGCCACTGATCCACTAGCCCTGTAATTTCCTTTTTTTTTCTTTTATTTCATTTTTAATTTCTGCTTTTGTTTCATTTTGTTTTTTTGACATAGAGTCTCCCCGTGTAGCTCAAGTGGCCTCAAATTCATGGTCTTCCCGCCTGCACCTCTCTAGTGATCTGTAATTTTCTTATTGGGAAAGTTTTTAATTACAAATTTAATTTCTTTAAAAGAGATATTCAAGTTACTTATTAAGTCTTGGTAATGGGTCTTTCAAGAAAATTTTCCATTTCATCAAAGCTGTCAAATATATTGGCATAAATTTGTACATATCATCCCTTATTTTCTTTATGAATTTGGAGTTTTCATTCCTGTTGATGTGGTGGTGCATACCTGTAATCCCAGCACTTGGGAGGCTGAAGCAGAGAGTTTCAAGTTTGAGGCCAGCTTGGGCTGCATAGTGGGTTCCAGACCAGCTTCAGCTACTTAGCAATGCCCTGGCTCAAACCACACCCCCTCAAAAAAAAAACTCCTGTTTTTTTAGTTTCTAAATACTTGGGAATTTTCTAGAGCTCTTTCTGTTATTCATTTCTAATTTAATTCCATTGTATAACTTGAATAATTTAAATTATTCTAGATTGACTACTCTGTCACTTTGAAATGACTTTTTTTACCCCTAGTAACATTCTCTGCTTTCAAATCTATTTTGTCTGATATTAACATAGACACTCCATCTTCTTCAAGTTAATATTATGTTAGTATATTTCATTCCATTCTTTTACTTTTAACCTTTGTTCCCTTATGCCTTATTTATAATGTGTTTCTTATAGGCAGTACATTGTTGAGTCTTGTGGGTTTTTTTAAAAACCTAATTTAACAGTCTCTGCTTTATAATTGACATAGTTGGATCAAGTACATTTAATGTGATTATGATGTAGTTAGATTTAAAGCCATCATCTTGCTACTTGTTCTCTATTTGTTCTATTTTATTCTTTGTTCCTTTCTGTCTTCCTTTGGATTAACTGACACTAAATAACTTGTTTCCATGTTATTTCTTTTGTTGGCTTCTCAGTTATACTTTTGTTGTTTGGGTTGTTATTTTAGAGTTAATACTATGCATCATTAACTTATCACAGTCCGTTTTCAATGATTTCATGCCTCTCCATGTATTGTCTAAGAAGCTTGCAATACTATAATTCCATTTCTCTGCTCCCATGCTCTTAAGCCCCAAGACAGTAAGAAGACCCATGAAAGTAATTTCCTGTGGGGTTCAAAACAGGTCAATTATTGTTGAAAGATTCAAAAATCAGAGCAGACATGCATATGACCAAGATAATAAATATACTTCTTCTGCCAGACACAGAGAACAGTACCCCTGTGCAGTAAAGAGGAGTGTCAACGTCTTTGTTATGATAGTGCAGCTCTCGTGGTAGTTTGTTATTCAGCAATAAGGGGCATCTTGTTAATGTGCTTTGCACTTAGCTCCTTTTACAGAGACAATTTTATGAGCATACACAATCTCTTTCTTTGTATGAGTGCTTAAAAGTTATCCTTGTCCTCCTCCCTGCCACATCTTCCCTGCCCTTTGCTCATTCCCCCACCTTCCATCACCTCCCAAGACAGGGAAAAAAATCCAGCACTAGTAAACAATACCAAGATGATTTCAAATAGGACTTTGCCTTCCAATCCTGTTGTTTCTGTCTCCTTACGTGCACTCTTGCTCTCTTCTTTCATCTGTCTTACCCATCCTTGAACATTCAATTGTCCTTTTGAAATTATCTCCACTATTCCAGCCCAGGTTACACCTCCTCATGTTCCAACCCTTAATTATCAATTGCCGGTGTTTTTCAGCAATTGCTTCAAGTCAGTCATCATGGCCTCTCAGCTAAACAATAAGTTCCTTGAAGGCAATCACTTTCTTTTTTAGTTCTTTAGTTTGCCTTGCTATAAAGTAAGTAATAGATATTCAGTGCATACTCAAGGGGAGGTGAAGGGATGACTGAAGTGGATTCAGTGGTGTCTCTCAGAGCTCTTAGTATTAAAATTAATTGACAGTTTCAGCAGTGACCTCAGATCATCAGTTTTGGATCATTATTAATATAAAAGCTCGTATGATTTTACTAATATGAGATTATTAAGAGTGGTATATATCAGTACTTTCTTTATCTTTGTATGCTACTAAGAGTAAAAGACAGAAAGAGAGACTAGAGAAGAAAGAAGAATAAAGGAAAACTAAATGTAAGCCAGATGATTTTCAAGGTACTTTAACTGATGACAACAACAAAAAAGGACTCACAATAGGACATGGTAGCTCACACCTGTAATCCTAGCTACTTGTGAGGCAGATATCAGGAGGATCATAGATCCAGGCCAATCTGGGCATAATGCAAGATCTATCTCAAACTAACCAATGCAAAGTGACCGAGGGCATGACTCAAATGGCAAAGCACCTGCCCAGCAAGTCCAAGACCCTGAGTTCAACCTCCAGTAATGCCAAGAAAAAAAAAAGGACTCTGGTGTCAAAGATCTTTAAACTGAAATATTTTTTCCATCTTTCTTCTAAATGTAGGTTTCTTCCTGAACGTGCCTTGGCTGCTATAAGTCGTGTACAGAATGTTCAATTTGAAGCACTGGTTAGTCACAAAACCAAGAAGAAATGATGTATGCTGGAGACACGTGCACATTTGTAATGTGAATCTAAGTTTAGAGTCAGTGCTTCTAAACTTTCTTTCATATTTTCAATGCTGCTAATATTTAAAAACTTTGGTTGGCTCTAGCAGCAATTGAATGAATAAAACTAATTGCCTATCTTTCTATTTTCCAAGAATGGAGAACTGTGAGAAATAAATTTCTACTGCTTATAAATAACCCATCTGTGACATTTTTGTTATAGCAGCAGGAATAGACTAAGACAGTGTCTGTTAGGCTACCAAGTGGAAAAGTAGTAAATGTGCTTTTAAGTACATAGACTCAACTTTGTGCAACTATTTTATGAAATAAATTACTAAATAGAGAAATGCTGGGCTAGATGATAAGATGATTAAAATTTTGAACAAATACTGTCAAGTTGTCTTCCAAAAAAATTCAAATGATTTCTATTTTGATGGGGGATTTTGATATGGCTATGAATTTGTTCTTTGTGGGCAGGATGAAATGCTGTCTTGTTTTATAGAGTTATGGTTTTAAAAGACATTTTTTTTCCTAATTTTTCTTCAGTGTTCAATTTTTCTCACATCCTGGTGTAAAGAATGAAACCATTTTATTTATCTAACTTAGTGAGCCAAACATTTACACAGATTTGCAATTGTGAAATCTCAACACCTTGCTCTTTACTTTAGAAAGTCCTTGAATGTGTTTGGTTTTCTTTTTAGTCTATTGAGCAATTTCTAAATATAGGCAACTAAAAAATATTTAGTCATTCACCTATACCAACAATGTGATCCTCCCCAAATAAATCCCAATGTTAAGGGCAAAGAAGAAATGTTCCTGCTTTTTTTGTTTGTTTGCTTGCTTTTTGTATTTTTGGTGCTGGAGATTAAACCTAGGGCTTTGCATGTGGTATACCACTGAGCTACACTCCCAGCCCAAAACTTTCTGTTTTAATTCCATTTCCAGTTTTAATCCTTTATGAGTGAAGCTTGAAGAAATGCCTGGGAGCACAACACTGAGTCCTTTTTGCCCATTTCTCTTGCTGTTCACCTCTTCCTAGTAAGTTCCAGCTGAGTTTCTAAATGTTTTACAGTGACAACCTCCATTTCATAATTCTCCTTAGTGGTCCTCATTACTACTGAAATTGCAGTTCTAGGGCCACCACTTGGGTCACAGATCCATGGGCAAATATTTTTTGCAGGGATTCTGTAATTTTAATTTAAATTTCATAATTAAGTGTAAAAAAATTAATTAAAGATGTGTCTCGAAATTCAGATGTCTGTGTGCATGCAGTATCATGATTTCCTGATAAAGGATTAGAATAATGGGACTGATGCCCAGTCCATGCAGGTAAAGCTCCTTCTTGATCCACATAACATAATATCTCTTCTAGTCTGTTCCAGGGATCATTGTTTTCTTGATTATTAAAGAGCTATTCCTTGCCAATTTCATACCTTTAACCACAAGAAATGATAGAAGCACCATTATCACAATGCCATGGCTATTTGTGGCATGTTTGTTTTGAAAAAATATAAATCTTCCATCCTCTCAATACCCCAATACCATTTATTTAATATTGGTTACATCATTACTTTGGACATCGGAGCATACACTGTAGTAGAATATTAGCTTCCAATCACTTAAAGATTATTACTAGCTTGATAGCAACCACAACTTCAAGACTTACCAGAATATACAGGAAAATAAGGATAATAAATCTGATTTCTGATCATCTTATCATTTCGAATGCTACAGCATAGCATAGAATAACACATCGTCCAACTATGTCTTATCTTGAACTCTTTAGCCTTACTCATTGTACTCCTAGAATTGAGCTCATTCACGCTGACTGCACTGCCTCTTATATACAGCCATCAGCAGGGGGTGACTTCAGGTAGAACAAAACAAGGTGCCCCATTTGCACAAGAAATGTCTGTCCCTCTTCTGGGAGAGCTTAAGACCAACCAGGAGAACACAGCATTGCCACATGGATCATTCATTGTACAAAGGAGCAATAACCTGAAAGCCCTCAGAAAAGACACATGCAGCCACCCCAAAGGACTCCCTGACCATGGCAGAGAACTTCTGATGCAGGGGTGGCTGCCCTGAGTACGGAGGCAAGGGGCACAGAACATCCGATACCACCTCTGCAGCTGTGGGTGTTATAAACCAGAGTGGCACTACATTCAGAACTTAGTTAATGAGAATGTGTGCATGGGCCTACCGTTGTGGCTTGGGCAGTGAGCCTTAGATAGTCTCGGTTAGACCTCTGCCCATGACAGTGAAAAATCACTCAAAATCAACAATTCAGCATCCAGTCTGGCAGCCCAGTTCATGTGATCCTGCAAAAAAAAAACCACTTTGGCAGCCAGCAGGAGTAATATACTCACCAGGTCACCTTCCTGGAACTGGAGCTTGGAACTAGAGCCAGAGAACCTTTAGATAAAGTCCCAGAGCAACCCAGTATCTCTGGTCAACCTTCTATGTAGGGGTAAAGAGAGAAACCCCAAAGGGAAGAGACAGAAGAGATGCCAGAAGAGACTTAGGAAAATTGCAAGGAAGGCATGCCAAGAGCAGGGACTTGAGGTGTGCAGACTGCCGTGAGGTCCCTCTTGCCAGGCCAAGCACCTCCAGGCGTTAGATACAACTTATGGGTGCCAAAGTAAATTCATGGCAAAAGAAATGTTCCATTAATCTCAGATATAAATTTATATGATAATGTTTCAAAGACGAATTACCATCTCACATTGCTGTTCTCAAGACATTGACACAAGGCGTGTCACTCAAAGATTCATTGCCAGGATTGCTCACACCTGGCAGCCATCACGGGACAGCACGCTGTGACTCACCCAAAACTCAGAACTGCATTTTTTAAGTTGCCTGTATGATTCATGTGCATAGTAAGTTTGAGAGGCATTCTTGTGACGTTAGCTCTGATTTAGCTGCAGCGTCGTGTGAAAGGGACTGATCTGAAAAGCTGATAGTTATATGAAAATCCTTTGTGTTTATTCTTCACATATTATGTGAGAAATCATAAGGAGTGAATTCCACCCAAGTCCTAAGAATCTTCTCACAGTTTCTACTTTTTGCTTCCTCTTATATACGGGTTTGTCAGGTAGACATTTTTCCAATTCACTTCTTCACATGTGCCAGGTGTTTTTCCTTTTATTTGCTGATTGCTGGGAGTACATTGTTTAGATTATACAAAGTTCTTACAATATATCAAATTATTCATTGAATTCATCCCCTCCATCTTCTCCTTTCATCTCTTCCCTCCCCCATCCAGGAATACTGTCAAACAGGTCTATTTTTCCAATTTGATGCAGGGTATTCTTGCTCAAAAACCCCTTCTTTATGGGTTGGATACATTAATTGCTGTTTAAATTTGCCTTTAGCTCCTAGTGGCAAGTTATGACAGTTGTTAGGAAATTTAAGTGGCAATATCTGATGGAATTTTTTTATAGAACAGTAATCACAGTTAAATTATAAGAAAGCACATTCTGACTGGCCTAGATGCAATCACGTCCCATTCAACTTGCTTCACACACACTGCACAATTAGAGATTTCATAAATTCACATCGAGACACTTAGAGAAAAGCAAAAATCATTACCTATTGGATTTAAATATCCATTATCTCAACAGACATTTTTATAACTTATAAATGAGATCCAACTTGGGTATTAAATTAAGACTTAAATATTTCCCCAACAATTCAAAAACCTGAATTGCTTATTTCCCACATCGATATTCAGTAAACCAATTTTTTGTTCATTCTCAAAATCCCTTCCTTTTTTCTGGCTCTTACTCACTAGTTAATACTTGCCCAACTATTTTGGGTGCATTTATTCCTCTACCTCTTTCACTACATGTTTTTTTCTTTTCGGACTCCCCCTTCTAAGGATTCTACCCGTACCCCAGTCTTGTCTTAGAATCATATTGCTTTTTTGGCAGTCACTGAAATATTTCAATGACCTATTTCAGAAGTAAAAGAAAGACCTATTTTGAAGTTAAGCCATTTTTGGATTGGATGTCATTCAGAGTAGTTTCAAACACTACTATAGTTTTGGGTCTACCTTATATTTTAATAAATATCATGAATTTGCAAGTGTTCCTTTCTACCTTAGAGACTCAATACAAGACAATATTCCAAGATTAAACATGATGATTCAACCATAAGTTTTTTCAGATCAAACAAACTTTTTTATAATTCACTCAAGAAAAAAAATACTCAGCATAAAATTTCATGAAAAAAACTCTGATTAGAAACATATGACCCTAAGCTATAGGAAATCAGTCGATGAGACGTGGACCCTGGCTTTAAAGATTTTTTACAGAGATAGGGGGACCCAGCACATTTTAAATAACAACTCGCTCAAGGAAAAGCGGAATAGCACCTTTTGAAAAGCTGCTGACAAGTTGCCTCTGTGCTACAAAGAACAGGAGTAACCATTGAGGAACAATCCTTCTTTTGCTGAGGAGCTGCGATTTAGTTATTAAAGATTCTCCTTGCTACGAGACGACCCTCCCAAGAGAAGAGCACAGTAGCTTGGTAAGAGGATATGTTGTACATGAAGTGTGATGCAGAGAGTGAGTTCGAGATACAGCCTTGGAAGTTATCCAGGGCAAACAGGGATCACAGCTATGGCCTTGGGGGGGAAGTAAAGACCTTGGGAAAAGACATTTGAACCTTGGTAAAGCAAAGCCTTGAAAACATACTTAAGTTATTGAACTTTGATGCAATCAACAAAAAGGGGCATACAATAGCACCATGATGTGGAGGATCTGTGCTCGAGGACAACAAAAGTGATATTGAAGTGGACAAAAAATAGGTAAATTGTAAAAATTTATAAATTATAAATAAAAATCTGTTAAATGTAATATATATTATTAAATTTTCAAGCATATATGGTTACAAGATAAAACTATCCAAAATAGCAAATTTGTTACCAGTATATTTCTTGGAAGCCATATAGTATATACAGGACTTTTTTTTATTGTTTTATTATTCA